GCTGATTACTTTGGTGATAGAGTCTCATAAACATTGGTACCCAGACTGGCTTCAAATTGTGATTGTTTGGATATCTGCCTTCTGACTAGCTAGGATTACAGTTGTGTGCCATCTGTGCATAGTAGATAAATGTCAGCAGGAAAGTGTATCAGTTTTGGATCATCTCTTCAATGAATCAAGTGTTATCTAATGGCAGGCTTATAAAGAGCAAAGTAGGCCAATCTTATCTCTGCCTCTCCCCAGGATACTCAGTCTATTCTCTTTATTGTGACACAATCTGCTTATTTCCCAGCCCCTCCTGTCCTTTTTATTAAATCAGAGCAAATTAAGCCATTATAGTAATTTGCTTTGATTCAGGCACAAGCCATTTTGTCTCTTGTTTAGTAAATATTTTGTTTCAAAAATAGATATTGATCACCTTTGGTGGGTTGGCAGTAACTTGGCTATCTGCATGTTTTAATTTTTTTGTTGGGCACTGATGTCATGCCTGTAATCCTAGCTATTCAAGAGGCTGAGAATCTCTAATTAACCACCAAAAAGTGGTTAAAAAGTGGCACTATGTCTCAAATGATAGAGTGCTAACCTTGATACACACACACACTCTCTCTCTTTCTCTTACACACACACACACACACACACAAGCTAGCTAACTGCCAGTGGCTTATGTCTATAATCTTGCTATTCAGGAAGCTGAGAGCTGGAGATTTGAGGCCAGCTGGATAGAAAAGTAGCTAGCCCAAAGTAGGTCTGGCTCAAGTGAAAGAGCACCAGACTTGCCAGGATGAGGACCTGTGTTCTAATCACAGTACTTCTTAAAAACCAGATAGCTCAAGAAGTTCTGTTTTAATAATGGCTAGTGTGTATACATCAAACTCAATTTGCACCACATTTAAGAACACAATATACATATATAGTTGGTAGGAGGTGAGTTGGCTAGTATAGAAGAAAATAGTAGCTAGCATTTGCTGAATCCTTCAGTCAGTGTGGATCCACATGGGAAGGATTCGGTAAATGTTAGGGAGTCACCCAATCTTCACAGCAGCCCCATAGCAGTTATCTTTGCAGTTGGCTGCACTGTATAGATGAGGAAATAAGCATTGCAAAGCTGTATAAGCTCATGCTGGGTCAGAACAATTTTTAAAAACACCATTGAGGTTTAAATTCAGGGTCTTAAGCTTGCTATGCAGACCTCTACCATCTGAGCCACATCCTCAGCCCTTTTGCTTTAGATTATTATCTTTGGTGGGCAGATGGCAGTTACGAGACTTGAACCAAGGACAGAACCCTGCCCCTGAGCATTTTTGTTCAAGGCTGACGCTTCACCACTTACGTGACAGCTCTACTTCTGGCTTTTTTAGTGTTTTACTTGGACATAAGAGTCTTACTGACTTCGCTGCCCAGGCTGGCTTTGAACGGCTATCTTCAGATCTCAGATTCCTGAGTAGCTAACATTGCAGATATGAGCCACCAGTGCCTGGCTTTTAGATTATTACTAGATAAGGTCTTGTTTTATGCTCAGGCTGGTCTGAAACCTCTGCCTTCCTAATTCTGTCTCTTGGGTAGCTGAGATTACAGAACTAAAGCACACCATACCTGTTCATTGAGATGCAGTCTTGGTAGCTTTTTGCTAGTACTGGCCTCAAATTGTGATTTGCCCCATCTCTACCTCTGGGTAGCTAGGTTGCACCACTCTAGCCTAGGACATACACCTTTAACCTCCTTACTCATCTGCTACCCTTGCACATTAATTATAATCTAAACAAACACAAGGAAAGGCTGATGGGAAAACTTATATTATTCTAAGATATTAATATATAAAATAATCTAAGAGTTAAATATACTCAATACTGATCTGGCATCAAATTCCTTTTGAATCCTACCACTTCTTATAGTAGAAAGGCCTTTCCTTTCTCCTCTAGAGTATGTTCTGTTGTTTCCTTCCATACCTGGTCCTCAAGAATGCATGCACAAACTCCACTCAGTCTCCAGACACATTCCCCAGCCAATGATGTGACAGCAAAGTAAGGGCTCCTAGATCTTCCAGTCTACTCTGGTTTCTTTCAAGTTTGTGAGTATTGGACTGCTGTTCATTTGAAACCAGCATAAATCTTAGGGAAGATGGACAAACCTTAGGTAGATGGACATGTTTCACCTTCGCCTTGAACCTTTGCTCATGGTAGTGTATACCAGAGTCAATCCTATCTATGACTAACTAGGAAAACCTTAACACCGAGGGCACCATGCCCAACTTGGCCCAGGGAAAGACTCCAGATTCTCTAGTCATTGAGAAATCTGGGAAAGACTAGACATTTCAAACTCGCCAATAAAGTAATGATGCCTGTCAGCAGGGGGGCACCATGAGTCTGCATATTCACAGTGAAGGGGAGAAAGACTGGATGGGCCCTAGAACAGAAGCGGAAAGTGATCCAATGAAACAACCCCAGAGAAGGGAGGGATTGGGCCAGAATGTCGTCTTGGAGACAGCCATGGGCTGTAGCAGAGCCTAAGGAGCAGAGCTGTACCTGGCTCTGAGCTCCTTCCCTCCCTTG